TGTCACCACGGGGCACCTGGGAAGAAGCGATGCTCAACCAAACTTGGAGTCAAAGCGCAGCCTAGAGAGTTGCCCCTGCATGGCCCCCCCATGGGAGTCTGACAACCAATCAGAAGACAAGCGCAAGATCAAAGGCCAGAGAGAGCATAAAGCCAGGGACTTTCAGCATCTCTGTCCCTTTTTCTCCTTCACCCAACATCTGGAAGCATCTGATCCCCCTTGTCTGTCCAGGAGCTCAAGCCAGGTGACTCTGTAAACCACTTTGAAAAGGCCGTAAAACACCATTAAACCATCTTTCCAAGCAGCCTCCATGTTTCCAGTGTCTTTTCCCCCACTTGGAACTGGACCCAGAAGATGTTTGTTTGTTTGTCCCTGTCTCTCTTTCTTCCTTCCCCCCTCTCTTTCTTTCTTTCTTTCTCCCTCTCTCTTTCTTTCTTTCTTTCTTTCTTTCTTTCTTTCTTTCTCCCTCTCCCCTTCTCTCTCCCTCTCTTTTTCTCTCTCTGCCTGCCTGCCATGTGATCCTGTCCACCATTAAAACCATCTTTCCAAGCAGCCTCCATGTTTCCTGTGTCTTTTTCCCCCACTTGGAGCTGAACCCAGGAGGACGTTTCTCCCAACACCACGATACCAATGGCACCACCGCTGGTCCCTATCGTGTTTCCCGTGCTCCAAATCACCACCGATGCTGCTGTCCTGATTATTCATGCGCAGCCCGAGATAAGCCAAAGATTTCTCAAGGCTCTCCTGTCCTCTGCGTATCTCCAGTGAGCAGGGAAAACATCCCTATCAGCACCAGAGCAGGAAAGAAATGGGATCTGGCCGCAAAAGTCTCTGCGTTGTATCTAAGCTCCCTTCCGGCTCCTCTCCTCCATCCAAATCTATCATCGCCCACGTCGAATTCCCTTTTGCAAAGGAGCTGGGGAACCACTGCTACGCATGCTTTAGATTTCTCTTTACGTCTTTCCCTCCTTTTATCTGCTCAACAAAAATGCTGACTTCCAGAATAACAGAAGACAGAATCACAGAAGAGTTTGAAAGGACCTTGCAGGTCATCTAGTCCACCCCATCCAAGCAGGAGACCCTGCATCATTTCTGACCGATGGCAGATATCCAGTCTCTTCTTGAAATCCTCCAGGGATGAAGCTCCCACAACTTCCGAAGGGAAATTCTGTTCCATGGGTTGATTGTTCTCCCTGTCAGGAAATTCCTCCTTATTTCTAGGTTGAATCTCTCCTTGATCATCTTCCATTCATTATTAGCAATAGCCCTTAGACTTATATACCACTTCACAGTGTTTTACGGCCTTTTCAAAGTGGTTTACAGAGCCAGCCTCTTGCCCTCAACAATCTGGGTCCTCGGTCAGCCGGCAGTCAACAGACGTAGCCTGCAGTACTATACTCTAACCACTACACAACCACGGCCCTCCCTTCCTTCCTTCCTTCCTTCCTTCCTTCCTTCCTTCCTTCCTTCCTTCCTTCCTCCCTCCCTCCCTCCCTCCCTCCCTCCCTCTCTCCCATCTTAGCAGTAGCACTTACTCTCCTCTCCTTATTCTTCCTCCTCCTCCTCTTTACTCTTCTTTCTTCTCCCCTCTACTCATTTCTTCTCCTCCTCCCCCTTCTTTCTTCTCTTACTCTTCCTGCTTCTTCTTCCTTCTTCTCTTCTTCTTTCTCCCCTCTCTTCTCCCCTTCCCTTCCATCTTCCCTTCCCTCCTATCC